GCCATTCTCTCCCTCCTCCCTCCTGCACCTCGCAGCTGCGCCAGCCTGGACTGTTTTGGGGAAAATATACCTAAATCATTACTTTAGCAGAGAGACACGGTGTTAGTGGGGGGAATTGCATCCCCTTCCCTAAAGTGGCTGGATTCACACTGGGCAGGTTTCACCCTTCCCGAGCCAAAATTTAGGCTGGAATGTGGCAAGTGGAGGCTTTTGTCCATCTGCCCAAGTGCCTGGGCAGCCTCTGGCCCCCAGGTGGTAGATGATCTTGGGGGAGGGGTGGCATGGCTGGATTTTGGGGAGGAAAGAACCCCTGCAGAGCTTCCTGAACCAGCCTTAGGGAAGCAAAACCTCTGAGATTTGGGGGGGTTCTCTTTCAGGCTACGAGCACCAGCAGGAGAAGGAGAAGCTGGAGCGGGAGGTGTCCCTGCTGCGCAGTGCCAACGAGGACCAGCGGCGGCGGGCAGAGCTGCTGGAGCAGGCGCTGGGCAGTGCCCAGGCGCGGGCGGCCAAGGCCGAGGCCGAGCTCCGGAAGAAACGAGCCTATGTGGAGAAGGTGGAGCGGCTGCAGGCAGCCCTGGGGCAGCTCCAGGCTGCCTGTGAGAAGCGGGAGCAGCTGGAGCTGCGGCTCCGCACCCGCCTGGAGCAGGAGCTGAAGATGCTGCGGGCTCAGCAGGTGGGTGCTGGTGACCTACGGTGGGTGCCGGCGAGGCAAGGGCGGGTGCTGCGTCCTCCCAGCACCTCCTCACCCTCATTTTGGGCTGTTTTTTGGGCTGCTGCAGAGGCAGGCAGGCGCTTCAGGTGGGGGGACGCCGGAGCTGAGCGCCCACATGCTGTCAGAGCAGCTGAGGGAGAAGGAGGAGAAGATCCTGGCGCTGGAGGCCGACATGACCAAGTGGGAGCAGAAGTACCTGGAGGAGTGCACCATGAGGCAGTTTGCCATGGACGCCGCGGCCACGGCGGCCGCCCAGCGGGACACCACCCTCATCAGCCACTCCCCGCGGCATTCCCCCAACAGCAGCTTCAACGAGGACCTTCTCCTGGCCAGCCACAAGCACCAGGAGATGGAGAACAGGTACTCCCATCTCGCTGGAGGAATTTTGCCCCCATCAAGCTCATGCTGTGGTCTGATCGGGTGGTGCTGCGTCCTCTCCCCATCCGGCTCCTCTCCCAGCTTCTGCCTGTTCTCCTCTCCAGGTTAAAAGCCCTCCATGCCCAAATTCTGGAGAAGGATGCTGTTATCAAGGTCCTGCAGCAGCGCTCGCGGAGGGACCCCAGCAAAGCCCTGCAGGGCTCCCTGCGGCCGGCCAAATCCGTGCCCTCCATCTTCGCCGCCTCGGCCACCCCGAGCTGGCCGGGGGCTGGCCAGAGTGACCGCTCCGCTGAGGGCAGCTCCCGGGGCAGCACAGGTAAATATGGACACCTGCCTGCCAGCAGTTCCCCCTGCGGTTTTGGAATCGTAGAGCTTGGGGAGGGGGGATTTCTCCAGGAGCAGCCAGAGGAGCCAGCAATTGTAGAATTGTAGAATCATGGAATGATTTGGGTTGGAAGGGACCTTAAAGCTCATCTCGTTCCACCCCTCTGCCATGAGTAGGGACACTTTCCACTAGACCAGGTTGCTCCAAGCCCTGTCCAACCTGGCCTTGGACACTTGAATCCCTTGCCTTGAATCCCTAACGGTGTCTCCTCCAGCAGGCAAAGCCAGTGCCGAAGGAGCGGGAGCTCCTGCTACCCTTCCCTTGCCCTCCCACTCCAAGCATGGCAGCAAGGATGGCAGCACACAGACAGACGGGGCTGGGAGCAGCGGGCAGGGCGAGGGCACCGGAGTGCTGGGTAAGTCTCCCTGGATGACATGAGATGGGGACTTGGGATGCTCCAGCACAGGGCTTAGAGTTCCCAAGATGGGCTTTGCCCGAGTGCTGGTGATTTTTTAAGGCATTTTAAAGGCCCTAGTTGAGTTGGGGGGGTTGAATCCCTGCGAATCCCTGTTAATCCCTTCTTTCCCTGCAGAGAGCTCAGCCGCTGCCAGAGCCCCAGATCTGTCTGACATGGTGGAAATCCTGATTTAAGGCCCCTCTGCCCTTCCTGCCGGCACCTCAGGATGGAGAAGCCTGTGGGAAGGGGAGGCCGAGCCTGGAGCTCAGCGGTGTCCCCGCGGCCCGTCCCGGCAGTGACCCCCGTGCGTGGGAGGGTCCCTGTCCCCCCTCGGTGCCCACACGGGTCCCCGGCTGCGCGGGGCGTGCTGGACCCCGGGGACCCCGCGGTGGCAGCTTAAAATACACCTCGTCAGCTCCATCCCCATCCCGGCTCCATCTGCATCCCAGCTCCCACCTCTGGGTCTTGGCCATCTGCACCCACCCAGGAGCTTGGCCTCTGACAGGAAAATCCCTCCCTGTTCGCCCGAACTGTTCCCACAAGCCAATGTCTCCGCACGAGGGCAGAGCCAGGAGAGGGGATCCTTGTCCTCCATGGGTCCCACCGACCACCCGGATCCACGCGGCCAAGCCAAGAGCCAGGAGCCCCAAACTTCCATCACCTGCATCCTGCCTCTGGGGTTCGTGGCAGGGTGACAGTGAAACAAAACACGATCATGGAGGGAATGAAAGGTGTAGGAGAAAGCAGAGGTGCAGGGCTCCGTGGGAAGCGAGGATGCTGAAGGAGGCAGTGGGATGTGCCACCCCTCTCCTGCCTGCATCCCCTGGCTACTGGCAGCTGGCTTTGCCCGTAGCCAGCATCGACATCCAGCTCCTTAGAGCCTCCCATCCTTGCCCTTCATGTACATATATATTTTTTTCTCTATTTCTTCCTCCTTTCAACGTGTGCATTTGCTGGCCAACTGCATTTTTTATTTTTCTCTCCCCAGACACGTAAAAAATGCGTTCGGTTCTTGTGCATTGTTTACAAAGTGGAAAAGAAACAAAAAGTTATGAAAGAGGAGAAAAAAAAAAAAAAACAAGCCCCCACAACTTAATATATTTTATATTAATATTGGTATTTCTTTTTAAGTATTTTTTTCGTGCTGTGAACTTTTTTTTCCTGCCAAAGACGACAAGTTCTCGTTTGTGCGTTTTAAGTTATCTTTAAGTATTTAAACGTAAACCTGGCTGTTTCGTTACGCCGCCCTATACCGAGATTGCTGTAGCATTCCACTTGGTATAATGATATTTTAATAAAAAAAACCCAAATATTGACCCCTGGATACTCTTTTTTCCATGCGACGGGGAGAGATGGAGGCTCTGGCTGGGGAAAGGGGGTCTGGGGGTGGTGACCCCCCGGTTCAAATGTCCTTCCCAGCTCTCCAAGAAGAGGTTTGGGGTGAAGCTGCTTGGGAGAGGGGAAAAAATCCTCAGGAGCATGTCTGTGTTTCCCAAAATCCCGTTGGGATCCCATTCCCCCCATCCTTCATGGGGGAAAAGATGGAGTTGCCAAGGAATGTCGATGTAGTTTCCTTCCTGCCCTTGCATCCCTGCATCCCTCTGTTCTTGACTCCTGCATCCCTGTGACCCTGCATCCCTGTGTCCTCTATCCTGGTATTTCTGCATCCCCTAGCTCCCTCCTGATGAGATCCTCCTCCTCTTCCTCACAAGACCCCTTCCTTCTCTCCTAATGCTCCACCATGGATCTCCCTGAAGGCCAGGACTTCCAGCATAGCTGGCCCTGGTCCCCACGCTTTCCCTGGCTTTGTCAGCCACCTCCAAGCCCTTCCCACCCCAGCTGGCTCCTGGATCTTCCGGAAGACCAGAAGTTCTCCAGGTGTTGGACTTTCATTTTTAACAGGTGTGTCATTAGTGCTTCCCAGGGAGCATCCCTGGGGACTCTGCCATCTCCAGCCGGGCCGGAACTTTCCCTCTGTGCGTCCTTTGGCAATGACTGGCAGCTCATCTTTGTCATCCCGCTGTCCCTGGGGACCAGGAGCTCTTGTGCAAGTCTCTCTGCAATGGGGTTTAGCTTGGATTCTGTGGAACAATGGCATCAGAAACCAGCTTTGTTGCCAACTCCTCCCTGGAATTATGGAACCATGGAATTGTTTAGGTTGGAAAAGCACTTTAAGATCATCAAGTCCAACCATTAGCCCAGCACTGCCAAGGCCACCACTAACCCATGTCCACAAATGCCACATCTACATGTGTTTGAACACTTGCAGAGATGGTGATTCCAGCACTTCCATGGGCAGGATCTCTTAGGGCTCCGTTCTTGGTGGGACAGCGATGCTGAATGCCACCTCAGCTCTACCCTTCCCACTCAGGAATCTGGAAGGAGCGTGGCTGAAAAATGAGAATTTGGGGCTTCCTGTGGCTGTGGGACAGGTCTCCATCCCTGAGGAGCAGGTTAGAAACACTCAGAACAGTGGGAAGCTCAGAGCCAGGCTCCTCCTTCCACCCAAGGCTTGTCCTGGGTGTTGCAAGCAGGGAAACAAAAGCTCCCCCCTGCAAAAGGCTGAAAGGGACCCTGAAACGGGGCCAGCGATGGGAAGAACTGGGTGGGAACTCACAGGGAGCTGTCGAGGCTGGGAATATGTCCGGGGGTCCTGGCAGCCGCCGGCCAGGGCTGTACCTGCCCTGCCTCCCCCAGCTCCTGCCACCCCGGAGCTGCAGCAGCCGCCTGGGAAGGCCGGCAGCATTCCTGGCATTCCACAGCTCTCACACCCCACGCTTTATTTACCCGAATCCGGATGCAGAGCGGCCCGACTGCAGGTCTGGCTGTTTGCAGGCAGCTTTCCACGTCCAGGGATTCAGGGAACGGGCTCCTGTTGGGGGATTTGCTCCCTGTTTGGCCACTGACCCCCATCCCCAGGACTTTCACAGTCTCCAGGAGTCAGAAAAAACTCCAAAGCCCCTCTGTGCATGCAGGAATTGGGCTGTGGGGAGAGGATTCCCAAGCCCAGCAGGTTGGGCAGGAGGTCCCAGCTCCTCCTGCCACACTTCCCGAGGAGCCGAGTGCTTTGGTAGGGATGCTCTTCAGCCAGAGAAACATCCCAAAGGAGCTGCACACCTTGGCAAATGGAGGCTGCTGTGGGGGTGTGTTATCACCTGCTCCATCGCTCCGTCCTCACAGGCATTTCCTTCTGCCCTTCCCACACCCTCTCGCTGGGTTTCATCACTGGCATCACTTGGACCCACTGTCCTTTATCCCATGAGGATCCAGGACATGTCCCTGTCACCATAGCATGGTTGAAATGGCGTGTGGGAGCCAAGCCTCCTGCTCTCATCCCTGTGTCTGTGATCTCTGACTCCCTGATCCTTGCATCTCTATGTCCCCGATCCTTTCATTCCTGTGTCCCTGCATCTCTGCATCCCTCTGTCTCTGTGTCCCCGTGTCCTTGATCTCTGCATCCTTGCATCCTTGTATCCCTGTATCCTTGTGTCCTTGCACCCGTGTCCTTGATCTCTACATCCCTGTATCCCTGCATTCTTGCACCCCTGCATCCCTGTGTCTCAGTCCTTGCATTTCTGTCCCCGGGGTTCCCCATGCCCTGAGAGGCGGCGCTGGAGTTGCCTGAGGAGCTGCTGGCTGGGCTGGCACCTGGATGCGACTCCTCCTCTGGGCTGCACATCCACAGCCCTGGAGAGATGGAAAAGGGCCAGCGGGCTCTGCTCCGAGTGCCACCACCGTCACCTTGGTGGCCCTGGGAGAGACGCCCTGTCTCGGGGCAGCAGCTGGGAGATGGCTCGGCTGGTCCAGGTGCTGTTCAGGGTCTGGTCCCTCCATGATCACAGTGGGACAGGACAAGGCCAAGGATCTCCTTGGGGCTCCTCGGCCATCCACCAAGCCCCATTCCCAGCCAGGAACACCTTGTCCCCCAGTGCCACACCACAGCACCATCTCTGCAGCTTTGGTTCCTGCCTTTCCTCATTTCTCTTTGGAGAAAGTTGAAGCTTGGTCCTTGGAGCATCCTTGGATCTTGGTGGCTCCTTCGTTGGCCCTGGTTCCTCATCATGCCCTCCTCATGCATCCTCTCTCCTTTCCCACTTGCCAAATGCTAGAGCTGGATGGGGAAAGACAAGCTTGTCACACCCTCATTCCTATGGAAAACTCTCTTAAAACTGAAAAATCCCCACCAGGATTTGGGAGAAAAGGAATTTCACTCCCCTTCCAAATAGTCCCAATCCTCGTGGGAGAAGTCTGGCAAGGCTGTGGGCCAGCCCTGCAGCTGCTTCCCAGCAAACCAGTCGGGCAAACCGGGTGCTTTCTCTTGCCTCAAGTCCTGACTTGCTCGTTGGACTGGCAGGAATGAAGCTGTCCCTGCTGGGCCTGCTGAACCCTTCCCTTCCCCCTCCCTCCCTCATTCCACCCCATTCCAGGGGGTCCCTGAGGTCTCCAGCTCCTCTCTGTGCCCAGAGCTTTTTGGGAGGTTCCCCCCCTGCCAGGCTTTCTTCTGCCAGGGGGTCAACGCTCCCTTCCTGAATTCCTTGCACTGGTCCTTGTTTGCGTCCCGTTGCAGAATGAGCCACTCCAAGGTGTCCCCTCCCTGCAGAGCATCAGTGTGTCTTGATCTTTGCACTCCCATGACCCTGCATCCATGTGTCCTTGATCTCTGCAACCCTGTGTCCTCAATCCTTGCATCCCTGCCCTCCTGGCTTCCCATGTCCCTAAGAAGGGGTGGCTGGAGATGCCTGCCAAGCATCCAAGCTGCCTGTGTGGCAGGGATGGGACCAAGGGATGGGGATAGTTTGGTTATTTAGGAGGTGGCTGGGACACCCTCCTGGATGTTCCATCCACCCAGCAATGGGGCATCATCCAGCTTGGGAGCTCCATCCCCATCCTCCCCAGCCCCAGGTCCTCTTGAAGCCCTTCATGAAGAGGGTGTGAGGACCATCCAGGTGTTGTGGCCCAGGGCTGCCCAGCTCCTTCCCTCCCAGCCAGGATCACTGCCCAGGCTTTGCTGGGCTCAGCACAAGCGGTCGGACCCGTGGTGCGAGCGCGGCGAATTCCTCATTCCTCTTCCCTGCACTGTGCTCCCTGCCTGCCATCTTTGCATGCAAACAGTAAACAGGCTGTTATTATCCTGGATGCTTTGAATAACTGTGGCTATTTTTTCTCTTCCCAGTATTCTAAAAAGGCAAAAAATTCCCTGCGGTTTCTGAGTCAACTTTTTTTTTTCCTCAGTCTCTTTTCTTTCCTTCCCACCACCTCTGTGACCTTGAAAGCCCAGGCGGATGAGCTCTGGCTGTCTCTGCTCACACCCTCTCCCCGGCTGTGCTCCTGCTGCTGCTCTCTCCGCTCCCTGTGGCTGGAAACAGGGGAATCTGGGGCTGAGCCTAGTGGTGGAGCAGCCCTGGGCTGGCAGTGGTGGGCAGGATCTGGCCTGTAGCCTCCCCTGGCTGAGAAGTTGGGGATGTTCAAGGAGCTGGGGATGCTCAGGGTGGCCAGGGATGCTGCAGGAGGGAGGCACTGGGGATGCTGGAGGTGACTGTGGATTCTTGAGGCACTGGGGATTCTCAAGGTGGGGCCAGGGATGCTGGGGGAGGGTGGCGATGCTGAAAGTGCTGGGGGTGCTGGGGGTGCTCAAGGAGGTGGGGGATGCTAGAGGAGGTGCTGGAGATGCTCAAGGGGGACAGGGATCCTGGGGGAGGCTGAGGATGCTGGAGGCACTGCTGCTGGAAATGCTTGAGATGCTGGTGGTGCTGGAGGAGCTGGGGGTGCTGGAGGTTCTGGGAATGATCCAAGAGGCTTCAGGTGCTTGAGGAGGTTGGGGATGCTCAAGGATGCTGGAGATCCTTGAGGTACTGGGGATGCTTGAGGTGGCTGGGGATGTAGAAGGTACTGAGGATGCTGGAGATGCAGGGGATGCTGGGGTAGTTTGAGGCACTGGGGGTGCAGCTCACACAGGCAGCTGGGGCAGGGGCACGGGATGCTGCCTGTGCTCCTCACTTTGCATCCCCAGGGCTTGGAAGGTGTGTGTCCAGGGATGATGAAGGCAGCTGGGAGCTGAGGGAGGCATGAGAACAACCGGACCACCCAGCCCTGGCAGGCAGCTGGTGTTCCCTGGTTCGCTCCACGTGTCCCCTGGCAGGACTGGGGCTCCTTCCTCCCCTTTCCTGCCCCCTCACCCTCGCCCTGAAAGCCTTCCCCAGACCAGGTGCCAGGGCCCTTGGGCTGGCACATGGTGGGCAGGGCCCAGGCAGAGCAGGGATGTGGCTGAAAGCCCCTCTCCAGCCCAGGGTTCAGTGCCTGCAGGTCTCCAGGAGGTCAGAGCCGGTGGCTTGGAATGGATCAGGGCTCTCCACTGGGAGGGTTTGCTGCTGTGTGGGGGTGATTTTTTTTTGGGAATGCCCCCCATGTTCAGCTGCATCCCTGCCTGCTGCAGGAGGAGATGCCTGAGGGGGTAGCTCCACTTTCAGCCCCAGGTTGTGTCATCTCAGCAAAATTTTTGGGATGCTTCAGATGCTCCAGCAGCCAAGGAGACATGGTGAGTCCATAGGTGAGGAAGAGGAGGCCAGTGCCAGCTGGGATATGGAGGATGGTCAATGAGCAGCTGATGAATTCATCCTTGTGCTGTTTTTCCATGGAAAAACCAGTGCTGGGCTTCTGCAGAGGGGTCTGTCAGTGCTGGGAAGGCACCAGGATAAGAAGGAGGAAGGGAAAGGAAGGGAAGGGAAGGGATTTAGCATACCACTAGAGCAGGGTTTTTTGTGTTTTGTTTTGTTTTTTTTTTTTTAGTTGCTAGCTGCGTTTTGCTGCAGCAGGAAAATTTGAGAGGTTTGTGGCAGGTCCTGGCACACGGGGCTGGATCTGGCACGGAGCAAAGGGCAAATCCCCAGGGCAATGAGCCACATCCTACCACAGGGTGCTGCAACATGCTCTGGCCAAGTACCTGGAGGGAGCCAGGGATTAATAATCTGGATGGAGAAAAACTGTGGTCATTAGAAGCTCATTTGGAAGCAAAGGGGCTTGTAAAGGACATGAGGCTCTCGGCACTTCCTCAGCTGGACAGGGAAATTACATCCAGCCACAGGGGCTGGAGATGGCCAGAGCCATCGCTCCGGGCAGGGAAAGCCTTTACAACCCACCCAACTTCATTCCCCAGGTCTGTCTCTCCCACCACTGAGTCAGTGCACACTAACACTGCTCAGGACATTTCAAGGGAAATTTCAGTTTCAAGTATTTTCCCATTTTTCCCACACAGAAGTGCCTTGGGTTCTTTAGCTTTTTATTTTTCCTTTTTTTTTTTTTTTTTGGTTGTTGTTGTTCTTTAATTAAAAAAACCTGTCTTCTTCCTTCCAGGAAAACTTGGATGTTTGGCCTTTTTGCCCACTGCAGGGGAAACTTTCCATCGTGATTTTCCTTTCTTCTCCTCTTTGGAGCTAAAACTCTCCTGAACAAACAAGAATGTGTGCTGGTTAATGGAAGAGAAGGGCCCATTTCCCTCTTTCCCACTTCCTCATGCTTAGGAAAATCACAGAATTACTGAAATTTGGGGAAAACAATTGGCTTCAGACCAAGAGAAAGTTTTAACTCCTGAGGCTTGAAATTTTATGTGTTCCAGGTTTCCTTGAAATTTTTCACTGTGCGGGAGGGGGAGGGAGAGAATCACTTTCCTTGAATTTCCTAATTCTTCATTTGGAAAGGTGGAGAATAAAAAATTCCAAGTTTCAGGGAGAAAAACACAAACAGCAAGAGGCAGAATGTGAATTTTGGCCTCGATGGAAAATGACACAGGCTGGAAAATATTCCCACCCGCATTTTACAGCCT